AGCTTTGTGTACATTCAGCTCCTAAGTTGCAGCCAAGCAAATGGAATAGCACAGGTGGATCCCAGTTGTGAGGTAGTCATACAAAGAGCTATTTTTGCAAGTGTCAGAGGACTGTGATGTGGGAGGTGCTGGGACAGACTTAGTGAGATCTGAGCATGATCCAGGGAAAGCAGCAAACCTCTCAGCCCTGAGATGAAGCCGGGGCTACCAACAAGATATCCCTCAGATGGCTGTGTCCCAGCAGCACAGGAAAGCAACTGCACTTACCTTATTCTTTGCCAGCTCATATTTTCAGTGTTAATCCAGGAGAGACCGAAGGGAAACCCTATCTAGACTGAAGAATAGATAGAAAAAGCAAAAAAATAAAACAAACAAACAAAAAAACCCATAAAAAAAAACCCAAACATTTTGCAGAACCCAAGCCTGGGCAACATGGTTTGGTGCATAAAAAAATAATCACATATTTCAATAGAAAACACTTAAAACAGAATTCATTATCATAGTGACTGAGAAACTGTCAGATAAAACAGCTACAGAAAAAAGTTAAACATTTTTTCTGTTGAAGCAGAAACAAATGAAAGGATAAGGACAATGAGTTGTAAATAAAAGCAGACAAGATGATCCTGGGAATTATTAGTAAAAAATATAAGAAAGCTTTTCCCAAGTGATTTAACTTGGTACTGTACTTTCATCTACTGTCTGAATAAGTGAATTATTTCCTATCTACCCTCCCCATGCTGCTCATGCTTAATGCAAGCATTCTCACAGGGAATCCCTAGGAGTGAGCTGCGTGCTATGTGAGAGATTTGCAGGGGAAGTCTCTTAATAAGACTTTTCCATGAGGAAGAGGGAAAACAGACAAACTTGGTGTGCATACCAGTTATAACTCCAAAGGATTCTACTCATCGCATTTCAGAAGACAGCAGCTTTCCAGGTGCAATCTCAGTGCAGAACTGTTATATACATAGACATGGTAGAGGAAGGAAATCAGAGCAGATTAATAATTTACTCCCACCTCAGTGCTGTTTAGTTTCCACAGAAGTGACACTATATCAGCAAAAGCATTCAAAATCAAAACATCGCAATTTTGCAGGTGTTGCCACATACAAAGGAGTTGCCTCTGCCAGCAGCAAAGTGCCTCGCTGCTTGATCTGTAAGGTCTTTTGCACCCACACAAAGGCTGTGAGATGCCTCACCCCTGCCTTCCCCTCTGTGTGGCTGCACAGGCCTCTCAGCAGCAACGGCAGGAGGCTCTATTGGTGCTTCTGCTCACAGCTCAGCATCTTGCCAGCAGTCAGGCCAACAGGACAGGCTCCTGTTGGTGACTCCAGTGCTGGTATCCATCCACCTGTAGGGCAGGTGGGCACACTTGCAGCAAAATTAAGAGTCGCATAGAAAAGGAAAAAAAGAAATGGTTATTCACTGCCTCCTGTGATACAATAAATTGGCTTTTCAGCAATGTCATCAGACAACAAAGCAAATAGAAGGAACTTCATGATATGCAGCTGAGCCACAGGACTCACTGCCAAATGTTTTTTTGGGCACTGGAAGTCTATTTGAACTGAAATGCATTTGTGTTAAAGGAAGAAAAATCCAAGGATGCCACCTTTTATTCTAAAAACCTCTGAGCCATGGTTTGTACAAGACTCAGGCAGCCCTGCATCTCTTTGCCCTGCTCATATTCCTCCCATACACACACATACACCTGCCCCTGGAAACCAAATTGTGGGCTGCTCCAAGTGGTTATTTTGTATCCAGGTGGTGCTCATTCAGAAGACTCAGAGGACAATTGACAGGAACCAAAGCCTTCTGAGGCAAAGGATCACTGCCTATGGTTTCCAAGCACTGAAGGCCTTCTCTGACTGCTTGCCTGTGGGTATTTCTGCCCTGTTATTCCATCTCCTACATGCTGCTACCATTCCCCTGTTGTGGCCAAGATGCACTGTGCTCACAGGTGCGGTTTGGAGCCAGGGAGTGGGCAGAGAGCTCCTGGCTGCCAGAGCTGGCACTTTGCCTCCGGTTACTCATCTTCCCCACAGCTCAGCTTCAGGTGATGCAGCCTGAGCTGGTGCCTATGCTGATCCCACACAAGCCAGCATGAACAGGGCCAGCTGCAGGCTTTGTTCTGCAGTCACCTGCTTGCTGAGGCCACAAAAGGACTGCATCTGCCAAGGCTGAAAAGAAAAAGGAGAGCGGGCAGCTGCTCCTGAGAGACCAAGGAAGGGCCACAAAGACACACACAGGGACTTCTGGTACCAATGCTGCACTAGTGCATGGCCCCAGCCACCCCTCATGTGGCAGCTTTGTAGGCACAATGCTGAGGCAGCTCTGTCAGAAGTAGCTTAGGCTTGAGGAACAAAAGCATGGGTCTCTGCTCCCTGCAGCTGCCATCTCATTGCTTTCAGAAAGCAGAGACTTGCAACCAGCAGCACCCAGCTCAGCTGAAGCTCCAGGTTGTTTCATGTGCAACAGCACAGGCAGTGTTTCCCTGACTTAGGGTACGTTTCCATGTGATACCACATCAGAAGTTTGACACGCTGCCACTATTCATGGCCAGTCAATAGGGTCCTGAGCTGTTGCTGCTCCATAGGAGCAGCACCTGGGAAAGCACAGGTGCAATGCTGCCTGGCTTCAGCAGCAACAGCTTGCCAAAAGGCCCCAGCACAAGTTACAGGAGCCCAAGCAGCTCCTGTTCTGCCATATCTCTTTCATAGGATGCAGGACAGCATGTGTAAGTGATCTCCTACAGCCATAAGAAGAGCCTTAGAAGTTGCATTTCTAGGATGATCACAGCCCTTATGTTGAAGCCAAATACTACACTTAAAAGCAGAGCAACTTTGTCTGTGTTTTCAGAGAATGAAGCAAGTCTTGCACAAGCTGAGACAAAGAGCAAGAAGTCTCCACTAATTCAACAGCAGCCAGGCTTAATCCATTTTGAAATAGTGTGCAGGCAGGTAACTGTAGCCATCCCAATAACTTTATATTGCAGAACTGATTCCTAAAATCAGACCTGGAAGTTGCCTCTGTTCAGACAGGGGTAAGACATGCTGTAGGAGGGTCATTATGCAATTTCACAGAGTGCAGAGCAGGAGGATACCAGGACCATGCCATCACAATCATGTCATTAAACCCTTCTGGAGACAGGCCTCATTTTTGCAGGTGTAACAAAGCTTAGCACAGATGGAATTAGAAAACCTCATCCCTAGCCCACATCTCAGATACACACCATGCACCCAGTGTGCTGCTTGAAACCAATGGCTGAGTCAGCCAGGGAATGGTGCTCTGTTGGTGCCAGCTACCCACTGCCTTCCCAAGGGAAATCCCCAGCAAGTTCCTAGCCTCCAATTCTTCTGCTCTGCTGTGAGTCAGTGCACCAAGAGCTGCCCTGCTTCTGCTCTGGAAACAAAAGGGCTTCATTAGCCAGCTGCTGTATCAACCTGCTCCCTTTTACCAGTATTAATTTCTTGCAATTTCCTACAGCTGAAAAGTAAATTAGCTCATTAGATAACCTGCATTACACAGCACACAAAGAACTGCACAGAGCACAGCAGTGATGCACAAACCAACTGCAAAAAGCTACATGCTGATTTCCAGTTGCATTTTTACAGATGATCACAAAACACTAAGGCTAGAAAAAGACCTATGTTTACTTTACATCCATGAGCATTCCCCCATCAGTTCCACACACCTGTGGTGATCTCCCAGGGAATAGTCACATCTCATTTGCCAGTTGCCATAAATGCCTCCTTCCATTTGAATAACCTTTGAAAGTTGGCCACAGATTTCATTTGGGGCTGGTTTTGGCTAAGCAAACTGTCATCTCACCGCCAGCAGGGCGCTTCCTCCTGCACTTCTCCCAGCTCCCACATCTGTACAGAAGCAAAGGCCTTGAAGTTCAGGGAGTTTTAGTCAGCTGTTTGTGTAAAGGAATGATTTTACTTTTAATCTCCCATTTGTTTTACAGTTTATGGGGGTATGAGCCCTTCTGTTTAAATTGTTTATTGAAGAAAAGAAGCCTGGGGGAACTCAAATAGGGAACCACAGTCAAAGCCACTGCTTTCAGTTAGCTTGCATGGCTTATGGAAATTGTTCCTCAGCCTACTTAACCACTGTTATCTTCTACTTTTGACATTGGGATTTCCACATCTCAGACTTTTGAAGGCCCATTTGAAAAACAAGATTAAACAAGCTCACCTTGGGTCAAGAAAAACATACTACAGGCAGTGTGCAGCAGAGTGCAGGGCTTTGAAAGGTTATCTTACCATAATGCTACTCAGAGAAATAGCCAGTTCTTCAGCAACTACACATTAGTCTGTAATGTTTCTGTTTTAGAGGGGGAAGAGGCTAGAATTGTAACAGAAGCATAAAGAATCATCTTAATGAGGTAGAGGCTCAGCAATGGTTGTGCACTGGGCATTAGCCCCTCTTCTGCTCTGCAGTCAGATGTTTGCATACGCAGTTGCAACAGCATTGTTGGCTCCAGGCCGTACCACCAGCGTGGGGTGAGTATGCTGCTTGCAGTTACTTGCAGTCCACTTCTCAATCTGTTTTCACAGTTTTCCTCTGCATTACTCATCCTGCTTTAATAGCTTTTGTTATTTCCTTTTCTGATTTTTCTGAATCCCGCATTCAACAAGATCATGACCAGAGAAGATGCGTCAATCCAATTTGTGGACAACAAAATCAAGAGTACCTGAAGTTTTCCAAGAGTCCAGCCACTTAGTTGGCATTTTTGCTTGCATTTTGTTAATTTCAAGTCACTTACAGTAAGAGATCATTTACCTGTCTTTTGAACAATGATCTTGCCTTTGTTAATGTAGGGTTAAATATAAAGCACACTGAAAGGTGACATCTGAAGGGAGCCTTTCCAAACCATGACGAACATTTAAACTCTTCAGTTATTTTTCTGATCTTAACCTACACGTGCAGATCACAATAGAAGTCATTTCTAGAAACCCTCCCCATTTCTTGGAAACAATGCAACAGATAATCCCAAAATCTCTATTTTTGAAAAGAGTTTACTCACATAGTTTGAATAAATTAATTTGCAAATAAAAATTAAACTACAGTATAACATAGTTTGAATAAAATGATTAGAACAACTACAATACAGGGGGTTTCTTGCTGCATAAGTTTCATTACTTAATGCATATAATCTGGAAAATGTCAAAATCAGTTATATTTCTATGAAAAGGGAGTAACAGCAGTTACTTGTACATGACAACTAACTGAACTTATAATACAAGTTTCCTGACACATGCATTTCCTGAGTGAACCAAACAATATATATAATTTCTTTTTAAAAAATGAAGAAACAATTGACAGTCGAAAGCAAATATTTCATGACATCTAAGCAACATACATCTCTTTTTAAACCAAAAAGTTTAGAACAGCTTTGAAAGGGAAAATTAAAGCAAGGTATAAAGTATGGAGATTTGCTACCGTCAATTATACAGTACATATGAAAAAAACAACAAAAGGTTGGCCTAAAAAAAAGTCAGTTTTTGTATTTGCCATTAAACATGGTGGGTTAGCAGCAAAGCTGGATGTAGTGCACTGGCCTTTCCTGGCGTATACAGAATGGAAATGAGGGTTAGGGTAACGAGAGCACAGAGACCACAACCTAGAGCCCACCACAGATCCTATGCAGTCTTCCCACACCAAAGTCTATGAGGCCAGTCCCAGTGCAAGCTCTTCCCTAACAGATTGGGTCAAGTGCACAAAGATGCCAGGATGCAGCACACAACCAGCAGGTACCAGGCTTCTCTTTTGTTCCACATGTGGCCTAGATGAGTACCTGCACCCAACTCCTCAGAGCAGCATATAGGCAAGCCACATGACACCGGTGGCTCCCACATGCACAGCTGCAAGGAGCCAGACAAAAGGCAGAAGATGTGACTGACAAAGCCTTTCTCAAGCAGACACTGTGGCCCACTCACAAACTGCTCCCCACATCACATGTGGCGTGGGCACATGCACTTCTCACCTCCCCAAACAGCAAGAAACAAAATGAGCCTGATCTTTCAGGTTTGTTAAAGTTTAACATTGGAAAAACCCCTCAGAAATGTCACTAATGCTAAATAAAGACATGTTAGCATGAAGGGAGGAAAAAATCCTTAATCTAGACTAAGTTGCATATTCAAAGAGTCTGGTAAATATTTTTCTCATAACCAGATCTTAAGTACAGTCCTACCAAAAAGACGTTTTAAGAAGTCGTTCTCAGCTACCTTTCACATGGTTAAAGCACATCTTGACGCCATCATAAATTGCATTAGCTTTGTTCAAAAAGTATTTTAACTATTCTAAGAACTCAGTACTGCAGATTAAAAAAGAGTTTTCTACCATTTCCATCTCACCTCCTTCTCCATCCAGAACTATTCTACACATCCAATTGCTGGATGTAACTCACTATGACCATGCTACTCTACGCATTCTATGCACTTTCAATAATAAAGATAAATAGAAAAGAGTTAATATACACGTTATATTTTACAATGTTTGCATCCAAGCTGTAAACTACTGCTTTTTGAACTATTTACCCTCCATATACAAAAAGAATGGAAACAAATTTCAAATACTGTGGGGGCATATGATTCAAAACCATTAAACAAAAGGCATTTCAAATTCTCTCCGCAATACTTCCTTCACCTCTTCAAGAAGCAGTCATTAACTAAACAAGCAGGACTTCTCTCTTACCCCTGTTTCTTCCATTTGCAGACCTTTCTCAATAGAGAGGGATTTAGCTGTCATAACAAAAGAAACAAAATTCTTCATCTTAATGCAAACCAGCAAAGCCCAGAGAATACGAAAAACAGTTGATTTAAAAATCAGAATCGCTTAGCTTATTGGTTTACTGCAGTCCTTGGTTATACGTGTGTTAGTCAAGAGGTCCTTGGAAAATGAGTCTGATGTAACCTTGCTCACCAGCCAGCTGATGCGCACAGAAGGGACAGGCTGCATGAAAAGTGTGAGTACCATGAGGAAGAGGGATTTGGGACCAATAAGCAGTTGTCTTTTCTGAGCACACGTGGCCGCATGGGCTGAACGCGTGAGTTGGAGGTCCCGCATCCACGTAAAATCCCGCTTCACATCCAAGCCACAGAGGCACGTAAGGGCCGACAGAGCGGCACATGGGACACTCTCGATCCTTGCCGTCTCTCTCCTCTTTATTTCCCCAGTTGTGATAGCCATGGACGTGGCCACAGTTCAGGTACACCCACGGCTGCTTTTCGTCTACAACATCTTTTCTCTTCATGCTGGGAAATGCCAAGGTGTTAAAGCCCACCGGACACTGGGGCCTCGCCGCATTGATCTCCTGTCTCAACGCCTCCAGGTGCTTGACAGTGGGAGTGCGTGAAAGCCCTTCTGCAGTGCGCCACAGCAACGTTGCTCCACACAGGTCAATCAGAGAGCCATCCTGCAGCTGGTTGGTTTCATTTTCAACCTTGTGATGGACAGAGGAAGAGAAAGGTGCCACCTAGCATTATTTGAAGAGTAACAAGGCACTTTCATTATATAAGTTTATCTGGAAGATCCGGATAAAGCTTCAAGCAACTACTAAGTGCCCTATGCAAGACTTCCACAGAACACAGTGCCACTTCCTTCTCTTTTAAGGAAAACTTCTTAAGAGATTAAAGTGTACGTTAAAAAATTATGTGGAGTCCTCCATTGTATTTTAGACTGTTTCATTGGTTAAGTGGCTTGTGGTAGCAAGAGTAATGGGAGGACAGTTGGACTAGATGATCTTGTAGGTCCTTTGCAACCCTGTGATTCTGTACCTTCACACAAGGCTTTGCTCTCCCCAAGAAAAATAAGCTGCCAGCATTCCTAGTTAAATGCACCAATAAAGTATTCATGCACATTTATTTTTGCTAAGAGACTCAAGTCATACCAAAATTAATCATCTCCTAAAAGTGTCACCACCAGTGCTTTGGAAACAAAGAGAAAGGTAAAAAGGTAAAAAAAAAAAAAAGTAAAAAAAGAATGAATATCCAGGTACATAGACATGTGTTAATAAATATTCTTTTCTATTCTTTAAGAAGGGAAATATAGGAAAACTTCAAAGCATGAACACAAAAGGGAGAATCAGGAAAATGCTCTTTAAAACATGAACACAATTATCACATCTTGCAGAGGGGCACACTAGATTGGCAACTCGTTTGAGGGGAGTAGTCTTGATCTGTAGCTTAGTACTATTTCTGAGACAGATTTAGTTTTCCAGGTCAAGCAAGAACCTTTCATGTGTGAACAGAGAAAGATATAAGTCAATGCAGTTTATTGTACAGGTGACAAATGCACTGAGTTAGGCAGATTCTGGCTTCTATTTAGGCCTAAACTGTATCACTTGTGTCTGTGCCCATCTTAAACATGCTACATAAAACGCTGGTCTCCGCTCTTACCATTTTCCCCCTCTGTTGAGCTGATCTGGTTTCACGGAGGCTGAACACATTCCCACACACAGATATCTCTCTCCATACTCCTGGCTTGGAGTCTTCTGTAAATCCATTACGAGGGTGCATAACAAGAACTCCATTTGTGGTTAGTCCATCCATTTGCCCATCTGATGTCTTCCACTTTGCAGCCTTCTCCTAAGAGAAACAACGTCAATGAGAACTTCTAATTTGGCTGAAGTAGAGACTCAAATTAGATCAAAACTAAGCCTGCACTGATTTGGGAGAACAAAAAGAATTCCCTTACCCCAAGAAAGATGTTCTTTGAGGAGTCAAATCCTGCAGCATATATTCTTGCTGTAAAAGGAGGGTTACGTTCACATATGATTCTGCAGGCAAATCTTGATATCGTGCTTTGCACAGATTGCGTATCTGAATTACTCTGACTTCCAGGAACTGTATCTGTCACAACAAAGTCTATAGGGCTCTCTGTTGATCTACCAATCTGCAAAAAGGGATAAAAAAAGCTGTTTAGAAGTTTGCCTTTGGATCTAGTAATGTTCAAGCCCAGAGCAATTTAGAAATGATAAAAAAACATAGCATTCCAATTTGAAGCACTTCTGTCCATCAGTTTGAGATTCATTTTCTGAAGCCTAATCTGAATTGATCATTTACTCCACCTCCACATGATCAAAGTTATTCCAAAGGTTGAGTGCAGCCAACTGAAGGAAGGAGGAAAAAAAAAAGATGTAATTAAGCTAATACTGAGATAATTTCCCATTGAAGGTCTCCTCATCAGAGAAGTTAAAACTCAGGTCACCTGGATCAGTTGCAGCAGCTGCTAAACAGCTGGAACAAAGCAGTCAGATGGAAAAATGGTATTCAGAAACTTTACATGCCCAGAGTATTCTGAGCAATGCCATACTACGTGGAGGTACAGATGTAAGAAAACTGTCTGGAGATGACATGAGCTGAATCTGCAGCTCCATTGAGGTACTAGGAAGCAGCACATCTGTCAGGAAAGACCAAGTACAAGATCGTTGTGGCTGGGGCAGTATGATGTTACATTAATATTAATAGAACAGAACAGGGATACATCTGACCACAGACTGATTTCTTCTAAGATGATGGTCTTAGAAACAGCAGGCTGCAGAGTAGTTGTGCCCTCTTTTCTAGCTCTATGGAAGAAAAATAGATTTGCAGTCTCACACACTTTCACCAATTTTGATTCAGTTGCATGTGTTTGACTGCTTTTTCATCTTGTCCTCTTTACAAAACAGAGGAGTTATACCCCAGCTCCAAACATCCTCATAGCCAGGTTTTAAAGCCCACTTGTACATTATTACCTTTCACTCACTTCCAGAATTCTCAAGCCTCTTAAAACATAGCTGGTAATATTAAGACTGATTAACTGCTAGGCAGGAGACAAAGAGCCTGAGGTGGTTTTTGGTGAAGGCTAGAGAGCTTTCATGAGACTGAAACTGCTTTGTCAGAGTGTGTTTTTCTTTTTTTTTTTTTTCTTCTTCTTTTTCCCCTTAGACAGGATAACCCAACAGTACACAAGGATCACCATTGGCAATTTAAGAGCAGAATACATGCCATAGCATGCCTGAACAGAGAACACTTAAACAACAGCTTATGCTGCAGTTAGTTTGTTACAGCCCTTTTGCTGCTGCAGATATTTGCAGTTGCATACAGCTTCCTCACCACATACCAACACCTCCTACCCCCTTAGGTTCTGCAATGTCGTCACAGTTAAATGCTGTGACAGCAGAGCTCCTTGCCTTACATTAAGTACAACAAAAATCAATGTGCTATCAGTCCAGGAATCAGAAGAAACAAAACAAAAAGTCTGAAACAAAACCCTTATGAGAAAAACAGGAAATAATAAGATATGAGCGAACACAGCTGCAAACGTGTTTGTGGTTCAATTTCATACACACAGGAAACTCCTACGAAGTTATTCTAAACTGATAGTACATTAGAAGTGGGCCTCTCTCAACATTTCCCACCACTTTAAACTTATTTCTGGGGTTGTCTTAGAAGTTTTTCCTGTATTTTTACACTGCATTTCTTCTACCCTCCTACTGGCTGATCCCAAGTCCATTCATGAATGCTGGAAGCAAAGTTCCAAGTGCTTCAGAGAACTGTGCATTTTACTCTTAACCTGTGTCTCATCCCTCCTTACAAAATTAAGTGATTGGCAGAGTGGCAGTCAACAGCAAAACCATAATTCTGTGCATTAGTCGCAAAAACAGGTTTTGCCTCTGACCAAGTAAATATAAAAGATGCACGGATACACAGCCTTGTATATGTGATGGACTTCAGAATGAACAGAATTCAACATCTCTGAAGAATAAAGTGCAGAAAGTAATAAAGTTTCACATCTGAGAGGAAAAGCATGTTGAGATAATGTCTCATTGGAAACCAGCACAGGTGAGAATACATTCCATTATCACTTCATTCACATACCTGGAACATATCTGTGTTGCTGTCATGGGTATATTCAACTACCACTGTCTGGGCCCGAGACAAAGTGTAAGATATGCTGTGTTGGTCCTTATTGCTTATTGCCTGTGGAAAAAAAAGAAGACAAATTATTGAACCAGTGAACAAACAATCAATCTACTAAATACAGCAGCAGTGCAGACACCATAGCCACGCTCTTTTCTGCTCAACGAACACATTAAGTCAGATGCTCATTAGTGACACACCTGTAGTTAGGCTTGACAAAAACCAGTCCTCACCATTAAAAAAAGTTGTAGGATTGATTCAGCAACAGACCAAACTGGTCTCTTTACCACACAATGCCACAAAATAAATGCAATCAAGACGGATTATTAGTCATGCTTAATATTAAAGCACAGCTGGCTTTGACACAAAGAATAGAAATGAGTGCAAAGGCTGAAACTGAATTCAGCCTGAACTTCTCAACAGCAGTGATAAAAACTTACACTTTGTTCTAAAAAAAAAAAAAAGGATCTCTGAGTTCATATTAAAGTCACTGTGATTAATTAGCCACATGGACAAAGAAGTTACAAGCAGTGCTAGTAATTCTTACCTAGTTTACATATGCTGTAGCAAAGTAATCTAGGCTTCACTTAGTTCAGATTTTCATTCGAGAGATTTATGCAATGCTTTATAAGCAAAACTAAAACTATCTGAACAAACTTCTGTGCTTCCAGATAGCACTTATTATTTGAAGACCATAAACAATTAGCAAAGGTAAGTATTAAACTTACCTTTAATCAATTCAGTGCTTAGAAATCAATATTTCTGAATTATTTTCAGAATCAAGTATTTAACTGTACTGAATTTGTCCAAGGGCCTGATCTTGAACATACTGAATATCTCTAAATAATTAAATAAGAATGTTTATGCATTCTTGAATTCCACTGTACTAGTGGAAGTGATCTGCCTCTTACTGAACATAATTGCACATACATTTGAAACACCACAATAAAGTAGTATTTCATGGTAATACCTTACCTATAATAGCCTGAGTTTTGACATGAATTACAACTCTACTTCAGGACTTAGGCCACTTCTTCACTGCTTCTTAAAGGGAACTCTGAACTTGATTACCAGCCATAAAAAATGTGCCCTGCCAAACCACCTGTCCTCATCTTCAGGGAACTCCTACCCACTGGACTGAGTAGGAAGTACAAACAGAGCTTTGATCAAGGATCATTTCAAAATCAGCTTCATAAACAGCAAGCTTAGCCTAAAGCATGAATGAGTGCCAACACAGGAAGTTTGAAACAAGTGTCTGTAGCAAATTTTGAAGGAAAACAAAATAAAAGGTTTTACGTGACAAGACTGGGCCTTGAATGTTCGTGTTTCAAAAACAAGCATTTTTCATTCTGGATATGTCAAAGACTGTAAATGGCTTCTTGCTATCCCTGACAGGTACCAAAAATCCTTGAATAAACACAAATCATTCTTTTCATAGTCAGAACTTCATGCTTTTTTTTTTTTTATTATTTCATCTCAGCATGGATTTCACTGAATTCTTTAGACAGCACCAGGAGAAACAAGACTTAATCACACAAATCCTAGAATCTTTTCAAGTAGAAAGGACCCTGAGAGGCCATCTAGTCCAACACCCCTGCAATGAAAAGGGACACTTACAGCTCCATCAGATGCTCAGAGACCTGTCCAGCCTGACCTCAAATGTCTCCAGGGACAGGGCACCGCCACCTCCCTGGGCAACCCATGTCAATGCCTCACTACCCTTACTGTAAAAAACTTCTTCCTTATATCCAGTCTGTACCTCCCCTCTTTTAGCTTGAAATTGTTTCCCCTTGTCCTATCACAACAAACCCCGCTAAAGAATCTGTTGCCTGTTGACTAATACAAAAGTATTGTTGGATATCTCAGTCTTCTTATTCATTGTTAATAGCCTGCCTCTGTTGCCCATCAGAGATGGCGTACCCTCCTGAACTTTCCTTTTCCAGTTTACATATCTATAGAAGCCTTTCTTACCCTTTATGCATCCCTTGCCAAGTCCAGCTCCAGTTGCACTTTGGTGTTCCTGACACCAACCCTATACAACCTAGCAGTATCCCTATACTCCTCCTAGGTTACCTGTCCTGCCTCCACTGCTTGTGCATTATTTTCTTGCTCTCCAGTTTGATCACGTCACAGTTCAGTCATGCCGGCCTACTGCCTTTCTTTTCCTACCCCCGGTGATAGAGAGCTCTTATGCATACAGGAAAGCTTCCTTTAAGATCTGACTGGTCTGTTCCACTCTCTTACCCTTGAGAACAGATTCCCAGGGAGTTTTGTTAACTAACTCCTCGAAGAAATAGAATTCGGCTTTCCTAAAATTAAGCTTCCTGATTTTATTCTTTGCCTGTCTGATATCCCTCGAGAGTAAACTTCACCACTGCATGGTCACTACAGTCCAGGCAGCCCCCTGTCCTGATGTCACCAATCAGCTCATTTGCATTGGTGATCAACTGGTCCAGCACTGCATCCCCCTTGTGGGGCTATTACTTGGCTAATCAAGCTTACCTTTGCTGCTTGAGGGGTACAGGCAATATGCACAGTGCTAGGTTTCACCCCGTTTGCTTTGGGCCTTTTAAATAAAGCAAATCTACTTTTTCTTCTTCCTCTATCTCCATTTGGGAGTGACCCATTGTACCTATAAAAGAAAGGACAGAAAAAAAATGAAGTCCATATTTCTGTACAGCTTCAAGAGGTGCAGACCTACATAAAATTTCATTTGAAACACAAAGCCTTCTTAACTAGGACAATATTAAAAAATTATAGATCTCCAATTAGTTACACGTATTTAAATCTGGTAATAGGTAACTAAAGTACTGAAACATGCCTGCAGAACTACAGCACATGCACCCAAAGACTGCAGAGCAAGGAATACTCTCTGGGATTCATCTCAGAGCTACTATCAACACATAGAAAGGATCCATTTCAATGCTTGCTAGATAAAATATGAAAAGAGTTCAAGACACAGTATGAAAGTAAGAGGTAGCATGATCACATCACCTCTCACAGCAACCTGCAGATAACTGCTTTAAGCATGCCCTGAAATTCTACCTTCATTCTCACTTCCAGCAAACATAAACACTTACCCCAATACGATCAATTCACCATACTTCACCGGTGCTTTTGATGGATGATTTTCTTGATCAGGAGAAAACATGAGCTTAGCTAGTGACTTCTTCTCAAACTTCAGGTCACTGATCAAGAGTTGTGGCACACTTTTTTCATTATTTCCTGTGAAAATAAAGAAAATGAAAGGTAAGGGATTCAAATCTATCAATTACACCAACCTGCACACTTATTTTTGATCTTCCTGATATAGTAGGTACATTATTTTGCACCTGTTGCTTTCCCATGTTTTGGCTTTGCTTGAAATAACTTTAAAAAGATCACATGAAGAAACATCAATTCAGGCTGTGCTGCCTGCAACAATTACATGAGCAGACAAGAGTTTTTAGAAAATTCCCATTCAGTCTTGATAAAACATTGTTTCCCTTTATGCTTTATTTTAGTATAATTTTAGTATAAATTGTATATAGCTTCACTTAGCATGTTTCCTTCAGCTATCAAAAAGCAGAATCAGATAAGGATTAAATTGAAAGGAAAAACAAGACTGGTGCATTAACCAAAGAACTTCAAGTTCTCATGGAGAGTATCTGATTCAGAGCTTTCCAAAGAAGTTCTGGGTTGGCAGATTAGAGGAAGTAGTCATACAACTCCACATTGAGTCTACCATATGAATTTGGGGCATGCAACGTGATCTCTGCCAGACCAGAGAGAGAAGTGATGCAAACAGCTGTTTAAAACAAATCTCCAGAAAAAATTATGAATAATTCTTTATGAGAGTGGTTTCCTGGAGTTCAATTTTTGATCCTATTTTGTTTTCAGGATCACTTCATACTACCATTCTTTACACCTTCTCATTAGTAACATTTCCAGACACAGACCCACTCCTACAATGAGGAGGATGCTTCAGAGGAAGTGTACCCATCACAGCACTTGTTTTATATCAAATAAAGCCGACACTAAGCCTTTTTGAAGCTTTCACTTAAAAGCAGCAAGACTATTCCCTTGGTTCTCCCAGACCAAGCTTTCCTACGGACTCATAAAACCATTAAGCTTTTTAGTTCTGCACTTTTGGCACTGATTGTTAATATTCTGCCTTCCATTCAAACAAATATTTTTGGCCCACACAACATTTCTCATATCCTGTCATCTACTGTAATCATGACGATAATGTTGTATTTCTGCTTTCTTCTGCCTGGAAGTAGATATTATACAGAAAAGAAACCACTGTGTCATTCTACCCTCCACCGTATGCCCTAACAGAGAAGAAAACGTGACCACAGTTGCCATCCTGCTCACATTTGTTCAGTACTTGGAATAAAGACACTTTCACTGATCTCTACCCTCAGTTCTCTTTGTTCCACTCTAGCAAAACTTGGCCTTCAGTGGCCCTTCTTGAGCTAGGGCTTCTCATTCAGTATAGACCAACCCCCACTTGCAACCAGACACAATGTTATCTCAAAAATCAGTATGTTCCTTAATGCCCTCTTGAATGCTATCCCATGTACTCAGGAGGGCTCCACACAAATACACACACCTTACTGTTCTCCCAACTTCTGCTGTGATGACTGTAGAACACAGCCAGAAGACTAAATCAAAACCTTCCATCTACCTTTATTCTTTTTTCCTCCATTTTTTTTTTCTCCTTGATCTCAACCTGAGTACTCTGGACTATTCAGAACTTGAAATTATAAGTTAAATAAAGCCTTCATTTAGCACACATGTAGTGTTATCACAAGCATGTCCTGACCCAGTGCTAGATGTAGAAGTGCATTCTATTAAACCTGATCTGTACAACACTACCACGCAACATCCGTCTCCTGTCTGCTTTCCTGCATTTTCATTTTGTAATAAGCAGCATGTATTTTCAAATATTTCTACTTAAGTCAGTAGAAATCTATATCTTTATATTCATATACAGATAATTTTCTATGAAGTATTTGTACCATCAAATTCAGTATGTCAGCATTTGTTTTGCTTTAAAGTTTTCTTGCATTAGAGTTACTCATGTTGTCTTAAAAACCCAGTTTCTAATGATTTCATCTCCTCCCTAAACAATTAACCTGTTTTCCACTTGAATCTCCACAGCAGTCTTTGCCTTCACTTCAGTCTTTTCCACACAGGAGTAATTTCAACTTGGTCATCACATATTCACATGCAGCACTTCACATCTCTTTGTGAAAGTACGCAGTGGCTGTCCTTTGAATTAACATTTAACAACTGAGAAGAACCACTGAGAAATCTGTAATGTCATCCATTAGCAAACAGCACAGGAGTAGTAAATACCATAAAAAAAGATAGAATAAGACTTGAATAGTACCCATCCTACTCTACGTTCTTCAAAAAAGAGCTCATCAATTCACATAGACAGAGGGAGGAGGCAAGCATTAAAAATAATTTTAATCTCTAACATTAGTGCAAAAAACTTCCCCAGCTGAGTGAATAACCTTCATGAAAAGCTAAATAAATAAAAGGCATCTCCAAGTCAGGCCGCTTCTGAGTCTTGGTAAAAGTAATTGCACATGAACAATTAATGAGACTCTACTTGAAAGCACCACCCAAATTGCTGGCCAGTGACCTCTTCTTAAGAGCTGATGGAGCAGAAATTAAAAAGGGAGAGAAGCTCACATGCCTGCCTTTAGCTGTGCAACAAGTCTTAATACAAGAAAGCGTCAAGCATCTGACACTCAGCTCCCACTAATGCTCTTTCCTTTGTTGTTGTTTCACATTTAAATAAACCCAGCCAGGTTTATTCTAGGAGCAGCACATACAGAAGAAACCCTTTCCTTATTTGACTCAACGAAGGTCCCAAAAATGTAAATTTAGAGCTCCAAACGATACAACAACTTGCTTCTACATTTTTCAAAAATATGGCTTTAATGCTGGAACTTGATTTTTTTCTCAAGTATGTCAGAACCTCCACAAGCTGCAAAAGTCACTCTTCTAACTACTAACACAGTAACTTCAGTTCAGGCACATACCAAGTTCAGAGCCCCTGAACAATTCAATGCAATGTACAAGCTACTTCTCACCCTGTATGATCTGCCCAATGCACTGTACTTAAAACAAAGACATTTTTTCTCCTGGAAATAATAAATGCTGAGGTTCACAAGACTACTCCAGTTGCAACGTTAGACTGAGTATGAAACTCATAGCAAATGGGTCGATTAGGCCACAGGATGACAACCTCACTCCTGAAACACAGAAGGCACGTGGATCTTTTAAAGGTGGATACAGCATACAGGAACTTACAGAACAGAATGCTCTTGAGCTGTCTGGAAGAAATCACTAAGTTTTTAAGTAATGGATCTTTTGTTATTACAGAATGATCCGCCCAGCTTTTATTTCTAGAATACTACATCAGACTTCATGGAAGTGTTATGAAAAGCTAATTAAATACATCAAAAAGTCAGCCTGGTGCTGTAGTACCCAAATACAACTGAGCAACTGGCTGCTTGAACTGAAGACAAGCAAGTTAGCTTTTTGCCATGACCTTTAATTTGGAAGTGGTGCATCTGTCCATCAGTGGATTTGTCATCATTGGGGTAGTCCCAAAACAAGAGACTATTCTAAAACTCCGTCAACACAGTCCTCCACTACAAAATTAAAGAGATTTTGTGAGTAAACCAACTTCCACATACACACACACACAAAAAAAAAAACTCAGAAAAGGCACTACTTGAATTGGTAAGAGGTGCTGCTCAGCAAGCACATCATTGCTTTTTAGCACAAAAATATGATGGATACCAATTAGCATCTTTCAGTCTTAATGCAGAAAAATAGAAGAGGAAGAACTCATGAACAATGCTTTATTGTTCTTAAAACTGGTTCCTCTGTAACCAGGAGAAAGACTGTGGAAGGTAACTTGCACAATACTGCCATGCATGGCATGGTGAGGCACTGGAACATCTTGCCCAGAGAAGCTGTGGATGCCCTATCCCTGCAGCTGCTGAAGGCCAGGTTAGATGGCTGGCAAGCCTGCCCACAGCAGGGAGTTGGAACTAGATGATCTTTAAGGGCCCTTCCAACCCAAGCCATTCTATGATTGTGATCCTATGGGTAGTTGTTTTGAGGGTGTGGAAAGAGCTGACATCTAAACTGAAAACATACTTTGAATTTGGTTTAGGAACGGAAACCCAGTTTCCTACCAGCCTTTTTGTTCTTAAATACTTACTTGAGTCACACAGGGCAAAGGCTGCCATTGCAGAAAGCAAGCCACGTATTTCTGACAACATCTGTATAGAAGGAAAAGCCTTATCATTGTCCTCTGTCCTGTGACATTCAAAAACCAATCTCTGAATCTAGAGACAGACCTAGCAAGCCATGTGCTGCTGCAGCATGTAATAATGAACACTCAGACTCACTAAGCACTGCAAACCTAACATGTCTTCAGCCACTTAGTGACATACATCAGTTCAAGTCCAATTGAACATCAGGATTTGTGCCAGGAATGTCGGGGTTGTGGTCAACAGCTTTTTGTCCAGGTGGAGGCTGGGCACAAGTCCCTCAGCAGTCCATCTTGGGACTGGCACTCTTTGACTTCCTTATCAGTGACAGACAATGGGATTGACTGCACCCTCAGCAAGTTTGCTGATGACACTAAGCTGAGCAGTGCAGCTGACACAACAGAAGGAAGGAATGCCACAGACTTGAAAAGTGGGCCCGTGTGAACCTAATGATGTTCAACAAGGCCAAGCGCAAGTGTTGTACTGGGGTTGGGACAATCCCAGATATGCATACAGACTGGGAAAAGAACTCACTGAGAAAAGTCCTACAGAGAAGGACTTGAGGGTCCTGGTGGATGAAAAGTTGGATATGAATAGCAGTATGAACTTGCAGCCCAGAAGGCCAACAGTGTCCTGTGCTGCATCAACAAAAGGTGGGAGCAAGGTGAGGGAGGGGATTGTCCCCCTCTGCTCCATCCTTGTGTTGACCCACCTAGAATACTGCATCATGTCTGAGGCCCCCAGTACAAGACGACACAGAGCTGTGGGAGCTGGTCCAGAGAAGGGCCATGAAGATGCTCAGAGGGCTGGAGAAGAAGAAAGGCTGAGGGAGCTGAACTTATTCAGCCCGGAGGAGACTCTGGGGAGACCTCACTGCAACTTCCCAGTACTTGAAAGGAGCTTATAAGCAGGAGAGAAACTGATTTGTTACACGGTTTGATAGCAACAGGAAAAGTGGGGAATGGCTTTAAAGTAAGAGAGGAAACATAGGTTAGATGTTTGGAAGAAATTCCCTACACAGAATGCGGTGAGGCATATCACCCAGAGAAGCTGTTGATGCCCCCCAACCCCTGAAGGTGTTTAAGGCCATGTTGGATGGGACCCTGGGAAGCCTGACCTGCCTCAGCAGGTGGGTTGGAGCTTTATGAATTTAAGGTCCCTTCCAATCCAAGCCACTGTATGATCTGACACCTATCTTCACTTACTACTTCAAGTTTAAGCCTTTGGGTACATGAAAACAGAGTAGAAGCAGGTTACAAGTCTGACTACTTTCTCTGAACAAACCATTTTCAGTGGGGAACCCAGAGACGTAATGAATTTTGGTTGAACTACCAGCTTTTAACTTACCAGCAACGTTCAATCATTTCACTGTCTTTTCTGACCATGAGACTACATTCATAATTAGTCCGTACTGGCTTCTATAGAAAGCCTTCCAATCCTGTTTGCATTGGGGCACAGAACCTTGTGAATAAGCTTGCTATTTAGTAGACCAAGAACAGTTTTTAAAACTGCATCTTAATGGTTAAAATGGGGCGGGGGGAGGGGAGAACAAATTCAATGAGCCCAAGCAGAGATTCATTAAACACTCTGCTGTGAGCTAAAAATACTAGAATAAAAGTCTCTTTGTAATAAATTACCATCATTTTCTAAACACAGAGCCAGCATTATAGGCTGTTAGCAACTGTAGCTAGTGCCAGACTAGCCCTTTTCTAAAATACTGCATTAAAAAAAACAAAAAAAACACTCTCACTGTATAAAAAGAAGTCCTCTGTCAATGAGAAAATTAAAAATATGCTGATTCAGATGCAAAAGATGAATATTTTTCCATTTTTATATTACCATTATGTTCTGTATCTACATATTCTAGGGTTTGGGTTTTTTTCCTTACAGAAATAAAACACAAGACAGCTTAGCTACTCATTTTTTATACAGTTTGCTATTTGTAGTTCTCCATTTACAACCCTTGCAACTGTCATATGCAGCTCTTCACTCAGCAGTTCTGCTTTAAGTCAGAGAGGATACGGACAAAACATAACCCAACTCTTCTCACAGGTATGCAGTGATGGAAATAGGAGGCAACAAATAGGCTGCAAACAGGAAATTATGATGAGCAATTAGAGGTAAAAAAAAAAAAGTCCTGAGCAGCTGCAAGATCTCTCCTGCTGGAAATAGTGAAACCTCAGCAGCACACAGCCCTGAATAACCTGATCTAGGGCTGCTCCACGTAGAGAGAAGAGACTGGAGCACACAACCTCCCAACCTAATTCTAGTCGTAGAACTCCGTTTTAGGAAACCCAGCACCTTCTCAAGAGCCAACTAAACCACAAGTGCTCCTTTACCCTTCAAAGATAAACCCTGTCTTGTATATTTAAAGGACTGGAACATCAAAGTTAAGGTAACCATGACACAAGAGGTCTGTAATACTTGTCCCTCAACATGAAGATATTTGCAAGTGCAAAAGAACGGAGAGGCAATAAGCAACTGGAGAGATGTAAAAGAAGCAATCCCCAGCAGACCATCTCCTTGCTTGATTAGAAGTTCTATGAAGTCGAGGCTGCTGGATTTGAAAACACAGTTGTTAGCACAGTAGCTTATAACACTACACACAAAATAACTGGAATAGCAGCATATTCTGGATCATCACATAGAATCACTCTGCATGAGTGGTTCATTTCTCAGTCTTGAAACACAACCTGTGAAGGTACGGATAATGTTTCAAAGTGACTGCCTGTTTTCTGAAACAGAGATGTTCTTGTCTTTGGAATTAGTGTCACTTAACTGATTCTGATAATGTCCCTACTCTTCTATGTGAGCAGCAAGGAATTGGTTCCTTGCACCACTATGGCTCTGAGGGCAGGCAAAGATTGGGAAATCACTTTCTTGTATGAGATGGTTAAATCATCACTGTGAAGTTACTCTCCTTCAACTGACTTCTTTTTAAAAGCTTCTATTTATTTTTTTACTGGAACAAATGCCTGGGTAAAAGAGCACATATGTCACAGGAGAGCGTTTCATGTTTATAAGCTACAGTTTCCACTCTTTGCCCAGTTCCTAGTTCAAAACAAGTTCATGTTTCCTTCACACACATACCTGGAACTTTAGGTTCAGCAAGTTTGATTATATTTCACTTTCTAGATCAGTCAGATTCTTTCTACAGCACTGCAGATACATGGGAAAGGTATAGCAAAACAGCTGTCAAGTATTCAAGTTGCACTGTCACTTCAGATCAGTAGTGCTATTTTACCTTTCTACAGTAGGGTCATTAATTTCCCCCTCCTTTCTAGGAAAAGAAATGCTTAAGTACCTAAAAAAAAGTGTAGAAAAAACCTCAGGAGCATGGAAATTCAGCCCAGACCTGCTTTTGTATGACTTCTTTCCTTACTCTATATTGTCTGCTTTTTCTAACCTTTGAATAAGCTTAGTCATCCACTATATACACAAATATACACAAGAGCATCTTATGATACAAAAGCACTGAAAAGACAACAAGGCTGAATCCTGAAATGAGGAAGCAGCCTCTCCCACTTAGGATACCAAGCACAAAACAATGCAAACAACTGTCTGCTGCTCTGTCTTGAAAACATCAGTGAAGTCTCAATGCAGGGATTTTTCATTCTCCTAAACAGAATGAAAGCATCTTTTTATCACCAGCATCTGCTGTTGGTACACTGGTAATTCTGGAAACATGTCATACAAGACTCTTAGCACATAGAAAAAAAAGCATGTTGTCTGTAGACAACTCCAAAAGGGCATTAATTTGATACACAAGAGCATATCTACTGCTTTGCACCACCAAGACTACAGCCAACCTTTTCCAGTGAAAGAAAGAGCAATTTAGTTGGGTTGCCACACAGTGTGCTGCCTCAAGTGCTGTTTCCATCACAGAGACAAACCAAAGCAGCTCTTAGCAGTTTTATGAAGCTCAGAAACAATACTGAGAGTACAAGCACTCGTTCAGGCAAACATTTTAGAACAAGGCTTCTATTATAGGTGCCTATATGAAAACTTGTACTTTATGATGGTGCTCAAAAATCACATTCTTCTCCAGAAAATGGAAAATCTGTCTAAGTACAGAGGCCTGATTTCAATCAGACCTCTGCTACCTTCAGTTGCGTTATTCTGAATTGCCACTGATGGGATCAGAGCGGGGTCAGGCATATTAAAACTGAAGGAGTTATATAACAGCTAATGATCCACCTTAGCAGTTTGACAAAAATCAATTCCGAAAATATTCTCAAAAAAAAAAAATCCAGCGTTTTTTCAGTTACGAAAAATAACAGCTGATCCTCCCCTGAGGAAACCATGATATCCTCCTACAGATTATAACTGATGTAATTCAGACTGTGTGTGGGAAGCTGAAAACATTTGTCTTTTAGCACAGGGTGGCTATTTTAAAGCTGTCACTGCAATATTATCCATAACCTTAATTAGCAAGAAAAGGTTCTTTACCAGTTAAACTGGTGCCTTTCCACGCACCCTTACCACCCATGTGCACCAAGTCAGCTGTCAGAAACCAGTGACAAAGCATAAAAGCTCAAACAATGTTAACTTATTGGTTACTTTAAAAAAAACAAAACTTCCCTTTCTTAATACTTACAGCACTAGAGTAACTAACTGCAGGCTGTGCTGGCTGAGCCATCAGACAAAAGTTATTTGTACAAGCTACTTACAAAGATCAGCTTGCAGGTCGGTTGTACTTGCACCGTGACAGTTACTACACACTCTGTATAATTTTAAAAAGGGAGTTTTTATCTTTATTTGAAAATCTGAGTATGAAATCATTTATACAAGCAGTGACATCTGAAGCCATAAAACAGTGTAATAGGCATGCTGATAAAACAATGCTATGTGCTCATTAACCACAGCACTACCTATTTATATCTTCAGAGTGCCTGGTGAAAGTAGAAGCAGGAAATGAAAAACTTTGTACAGTGCCAGTATGAAGTGGCAGAACAGTTTGACACACAACTCTGCACTCAGGATCCCTTAGAATCCCCACTCTTTACTGCCTTCAGACAAATTACACACTATTACCTCAAAAATAAGTAGTCTCAATGTTCACAGCAATTCAATGAGAGCAGCACAGCTTCCCTATACAGATTAAGAGTTTATACCAAAATATAGGTGTTTCATTTTTAAAAGGGCCATTACACAGACAGATGGAGCTTGTTATGCTTTGATGATTGAGCACAGGAGGATCTACTGTACAGTGCACCTGAAGTAGCTGAGAACCCTGCACTTGCACAAAACCACAATGACATCTTGCTCCTTGGACCCGAACATTACCGTTTTGCTTTCTGAGCTTCTGACTTCCTGACGAGGCAGTTTGTGTACCAAAACAGCAGCTAAACAGATGCTTGTATTACACTAAAGCTTTTCCACACAGCCTATCATTTCACCTTGCAAACATTAGAGTTACAATTGCACCGAAGCATCTTTTGATTTAGGCAACAGTGACATTTAACAGCTCTGTGAGAAATCCCCCTCGGTACAATTTTGTAACAGGCATCTTGCTCTGCACCTGCAAATGAGAAGCAACTGACTCCTTCTGAACAAACAGCATTTTGAGCAGCTCTTCCTATTTGAGGTGGGGAAGCAGCCCACAAATATTGCCTGCTCTCAGATTTCCCCTCAGCCACATCAAACTGGCTTTCAGGTGCCTTCTGGAGAACCATGCAACTGAGGAGGCTATTACAGAAGACTGAAACAACACAACGTTACAACATATAAGAGATGGCACATAGGGAACTTACCAGTATTTTTCTGTTCCTTCAAGATTTCTACTCCGTGGAGGAGAAAAAAAATCTTGTATCTTGTTTAAAAGACAGACAAAATCCACCAACTTAAATCCCAGCAACTGCCAGACTGAGTGCCTCTGCTGTGTGCTTTTACTTCGGCAGTGGGTAACGCATTCTGACTAAACAGGGGCTGGCCCTGCCTTACGTCAGCTAGGTAAACACCACCGCGCTGCGCACCATTGGCTGAAGTCACCGCCTGCATCCTGCTTGTCATGCCATAAATTCATCACTCTCCAGCCCCAAAAAGGAAAAAAGGAACTAGAGGGTGTGTTGAAAGCTATCCTGCAGCCCAGTTCCCCAGCAATTCTTCAGTTTAGGCTCTCTGAGAAACTGTTCTATTTCCTTCTCAGCTCCTCTTACATAACTGTACCCGTGCATGCTATACCTTTCTTTTTATTTAAATCATCACTTATTAGCCCAGCTAGCTTTTCTCACCTCCTACACAAAGCAATTTCTTAATACGCTAAGAATTAAAACAGGAGAAAGTCTTCAGGTATTGCCAGCCTGGTTTTTGCTACTAGTAGTCCTGGATGCACAACATACCCGCACATAGCTGCTTTTGGATACTGAACTCATCTGGCCAATGATGCTGCAACAGCTCGTTTCTACAGGACGCACATCCAGAAAGGTAAATCTGCATGCACCAGACTAGGTTCTGAAATCACTGCATCAAGTTAGTGGGTCAGATCATTTAAATGTCTGAAGCGTAAAATGGTGATTGAGATACAACAGCTTCTAAGTCACCACCGCACAGAACTGATCATGTCAACCTTCTTCCTCTGCTGCAAGATCCAATGCAGCAGTTAAACATTTACATCAAGTTTTACAGTGTAGCTGCGATGAACTAAGCAGTTACACAGTTACCCTGGCTCAAATGAGGAGTACTCGGGCTGATGACTGGCATAACCAAATCTACAGTTGGCTGTGCTACAGAATCACAGAATGGCCAGGGTTGGAAGGGACCTCAAGGATCATGAATCCCCAACCCCCCACCACATGCAGAGCCACCAACTTCCCAATTTAATACTACACCAGGTTGCTCAGGTCCCATCCAACCTGGCCTTGAACACCTCCAGGGACGGGGCATCCACAACCTCTCTGGGCAGCTGTTCCAGCACTTCACCACTCTCTCTGTAAAGAACTTCCCCCGACATCCAACCTACATCTTCCCTCCCTCAACTTAAAGCCATTTCCCCTCGTCCTGCAGTTACCTACCCTTTCAAAGAGTTGATTCCCCTCCTGTTTGTAGGCTCCCTTTAGGTACTGAAATGCTGCAATGAGGTCACCCCACAGCCCTCTCTTCTCCAGGCTAAACAAGTCCGGCTCCCTCAGCCTGTCCTCGTAGGGGAGGTGCTCCAGTCCCCTGACCATCTTTGTGCCTCTCCTCTGGACCCTCTCCAACAGCTCTCTGTCTTTCTTGTACTCCAGACCTGGACACAGTACTCCAGATGGGGCCCTCACAAGAACAGAGTAGAGAGAGACAATCAGCTCCCTGCCCCTGCTGGTCACCCCTCTTCTGATGGAGCCCAGAATTCCATTTGCTTTCTGAGCTGCAAGAGCACACTGCTGGCTCATGTTAAGCTTTTCATCCATCAAGACCCCCAGGTTGCTGATACTTCTGTTTAAAAGAGTTGGTGGATTTTGTCTGTCTTTCAGACAAGTTTGTTGATGATATAGCAGCAGCTCACCACTGCAATTTTGCAAGCACAGCTTTATGGACTGCTTTACTTGATCTGCTTCACAGCAAAGCAGCCTGCATTTTCAAAAGTTGTTTTACCCACTTCATTGTTTTTCAGCTGGATCTGTTTCCCAATTCAGCTCACAGCACAGCTCTGCAAACAGCTGCAGCAGCAGAACTGAAGGCCTAATGGGGAGGTGCGTTAGATGGGAGCACTCAGAGCTAAGCACTGCCAAACTAGCTTTTGGTTCATAACGCTGTAATGCAGCACACGTTGCAACTCCTTATATGTAAGCTTCACTGCTGAGAATGAGGTTAATGCTTATATTTTTTTCTTCTCTCCTCCACCTGTACTCCACAGCTAACCTTCCTCAAAGTAATACTGTAAGGCTGTGCTGTTACACGATCTTGTCACCTGAAAAACTAAACTTCAGAACTCTCTGCCACAGGGATATTCTGGATAATAAAGCTGTTTGGAGGCCCAATGATGCTCCCTCCCACCCCATCATGGATTACTAAGCACAGCAGAAGTGACTGAGTCATAGTCACCAAGCACTGAGGAGTACTTTGAAGAAGCACCAATGTGCAAATTCTATCATTCCCACTTTGCTCTCAGCTTCTGGCCACCAAAGAGCACATGCTGCTCAATGCTGATCTCAGATGGCATGGCCACTATCACAGCTCTCAGATTACCAAGCTGATAAAGTGATTAAGAAAATCAACACAGACTCCAACTACTTTAACTCAAATTATTTTCTTAAATCCATTTGTGAGTTAACTCTATGAACAAGCTGCACCAATGCCAATGAGAAGATCAGAACCTTCCAAGTGAATCTCATCAGTAAAGGCAGCGACTCACTGAGCCACATCTTGAGGTTCAAACTTGGTCCCCCTCCCATTCCGCTGCCAAAATCAGTACTCTCACTCTTCTGGTGCACAAGCCTAGCTTTTCCAGTGATAAGAAATGAAGTAAAACCTTCAAATGGCACCTTGCATTACGGTGGAAGAGCTGTCTAATCCCAATCACCTTCAAGTATTTTACACTTTGCCCTGGTCCATATAAAGCCAAGAGCTTTAATATTAATGATGGCTGTTTAAAAAACAAACAAGCAATCCCTAAAACATCATAATTTAGCATCACTACACATACAGGCATGGCAACAAAAAATACAAAAGGTGCTCTGTATCAGTGCATTCATTTCACTGCAACGATCAGTTACATTGACATGAACATTTCTAGATTGGATTACTTTTCTCATGAAGGTCACAAGGCTTGAGTAGCACTGTTTCAAAAGAGTTTAGCCTGAAAAGTAGAACTTAATGTTAATTGGCTTCCAAGAGCTTTATTTTATTTCTTCATTTAACAGAGCCCAGGTTAATAAACCCGTGGATTACCTTATGCTGCAGCCATAAAAGGAGAATAAGCAACTGCAGGTTTGGATATACCTTCTACTTGGTCAATCCAGCTTTCCACAGGTAACAATACCTATTAACATCCCTACATCCCACCTACCCCCCCATTATCTACGACCTATCTTATTTCTGAGGATAGTCTGCTAGCAGCCATACCCTTCACAATCCCCTTTTCACAGCTAATCATGCTCTAACTTAAAGTAGGGTGCTATCTGGGTTTATTTTACTCCAGCACACTTAAGTAGCTAGGCAAAAACCTTACCCTGAGCTCTAAAATACCATTTCCTTGCCTGTGCTTATTCATAGCCATGCTCTTCTCTCCTCTGTTCTTGACTCCTATTAAGAGAAGGTCTAATGATTTCTACTTCAAATAAGAACTGTGCTCTGCTTCAAGGATTGGAAGCAAATGCCTTAAGTGTGCTCTCACCAGGCATGCTCTGACTTCCCCCGAAAAAGGGATGCTGCCAACCATGCTAGATCAAAACAATGAAATCTGCAGCCCAAGATATCACTGCTAATTTCATGAAGTGATGCTTAAATGCAGGGGAGGTTCTTTTCTTGAAGTTGTTAAAGAAAAAGGGCTGTAATCGTCATGTTCTTCTATCTGACTCACAAGCAGATGCTGTACAGTTTGATAATTACGTGATTCCACATGACATTCAAAATGAGCTTTTAAGAGGATTGTATTTCTACCTGTACCAGTTTAAAAAGACAGACTTGCAGATATGGACAAAAGGCAATCCTATGTCCACTAACACGTGGACTGCTGAAAAAGCAGACTAGCAAATGCCTCATCCCAGAGTTCACCTGATCAGTATCCTAATGCTTCAAGAAAGACATTTTAAACACACAACTGTTGATAATTTTATTTAAGTAAATAGACAGAGAGTGAAATTAAAGCCCAACACAGGATAAATGCTCAAAATCATTGCACATAAGATAACGAGGAAAAGGGACTACAGGAAACAGTAAGAGCAAAAACTTGGAAGAACAAGGTCTGTAGCAGTCCCAAGGGGAAATACACTTAACACTGCATGCTAAACATGCACTATGCACCACCTTACCTCTGTTTCCCATGGAGTCAGAGACTGAGCTCTGATCAAAGCCGATGATACTCCAAAAAAGACAATTCCCATGCACTGGAAAGTATTGGCTCCATTATGAGTATACAGGGTAAAAAGAAAGGATGGAAGATTACTGGCTTACCAGTCCCATTAATCTTTCATTGTGTTACGCCACACGTAATCTCTGTGCAAGGAATTCCCATGTTATATAGTTAATAAAGTCATACTACAGTGTTTTAAGGAGATTAAGGGGTGAAAGCAGCCTGAAGCCAAGAACATGCTAATTAGAGTATACAATAGAAACGTTAATCGAGTAATCTGCAGGAAGAGGAGGAGGGAAGGAAATGACCTAATTCCCTGCACTACTGAGTGGTGCCTAATGGCAAGAAGAAAATTCTTTCAAGGGCCAAGCAAACAAAGATCCATTGTTAGAGAAGAATGCTTTGCTCTATCTCATGCTGTTTTAACGTGAAGGGTAGATGGTACAGCTTTATGAACCATACTGACCACTTCTGGAAGGGGTCAGGAGAGGATAATTAGATTTGCAGGACAGCAAGTAAAAGAGCCCCAAATAGAATCTCAAGTTAAGGCACATGAAACTCTCCTTTTTGAAAAGATCTGCCATCTCTACAACGTTGGTCATCCAACAGCCATGGTGTGTCTTAGGCAACTATGGAGCAATCCATTGCTGAAGCTGCAAGAACCTAGGTCACAGAAGCTATAAATCACACTGCAAGAAGCATTTCCCATGGCTTGAGTCATCCTTAGCCATTGGATGAGCGTAACACGCACCGCTTAAGAAGTCCTGTTCCACTCTTAGAAATTTGTGTGCCTCCTCCTGTGGTGAAACAGGAAAGCCCTTCATTGATTTAAGTACAGCATGTTACCATCACCACATATTCCGTCTTGCAGACCAAAAGCATAACGGTCCCAGTCTCAAGGCCGGTTTCTGTTTTAGCAGGCACATGTGGCCTTTGGCACTCTATCCGCTCAGTACTTCCAAATTCCTGCTGGGGAGAGACCCCACCAAAAAGAGTGCATTCTAGATTACTCATTGTTGGATTGAGAAAGTATTTCACAGTTAATCTTACTGCAAGCTGAAGGAACCTCCAAGCAGTACTAAAGAAACACCTGTAGGTTGGCAGGACTATTCACAGAACAGTCAGTCAAGAATTAATCCTAGTTCTAATTCTAAGCTGATTCTAGATGGAGTGATACGATGTAAAATATAAAAACAAAAGCTAACTCCAAAAGACTCCAATGATATCAACAATATTTTCTGTCTGAGGTTCAAAACAAGAGAGTTTTAAGAGATTTTAAACTCAGGTCTCCTTCAAATAAGCCATCTGGCATTATAGGTTTCTCACCTTTACCCTTCTTCATTATGCACCAAAAATCAGAACAATATCTATATGTTCCCAAAAGGCTAAGTCAACCTCTTTCTTATGAGGAACTTCACAGAATCACAGGATAATCCAGGACCTCAGGATGTCATTTAGTCCAACTCCTGCTCAGAGCAGAAGCTCATTTCCCCGATAGCAAATTATTACAGTAAGGGACTTCAGAGCTTTAAGCATGAAATGGCCCCTCAAGACATGCCTTCCCTTGGGAAATAGGAAAAGCATATTGAATGGCAGAGAACTGCAGATGAAAGAAGACTTCCAAACCAATCTGGAGCTTCATCTTTGTTCACAGCCTTCCTATGCTAGTTTATTTCACCATTTGCCTGAAGCAAAATGTTTAGCAAGAACTACTGCAGAGAGCTCACTGTAGACACACCAAAGATTGTGTGGGCTAATTATGCATTGGAAAGGATAAGAG